GTTATTTATTACTGATGTTGCTTTGGAGAAGGAATGACTATATATCGTTTACTACATCTTATCTCGCTCGACCGGTCCCGCTGGTCAGTCACACGCATAAACTTTCGAGCGAATTTAGAAAAGTTACGATCCAAGCAAGGATCGACCGATAGTGATCGTATTAACGTCGCGTCATGATACGACGGTAGTTCTGGTATGCGTCCAAGCCGTCACCCGTAACCTTTAAAGGCCGTCGAAGTCAATTACAGTTATCATTATTTGCTACGAGCAATAAACTAGACGACAGTAAATCAGCGCGGTAGGCCAATCAATGGCAACTATTGATGACGTTAACGAAGACCAGCTGTGCACACGTTCCTATACAACCGATGTATCTGTTCTTTTTTTTTTTTTTTTTAACGACTTGTAGTATACTTTATCTCTCCCTCTTTCTATATATAATTATAATACTAATAAAATTTTATAACATTTGTTTTAATATTAATTTTATACTTTGTCATAAAACTTTTATTTATAAAAAAAATAAATAGGACATTATGGCGTGCAAATATTGTTGTTACAAAAGATAAAAAAAATATATAATCATCGTTCTCTCTTTCTTGCAATAATATTGAAAAATTGTTTACTTCAACGAGAGAAACAAAGAAGAGAGAGAGAGAGAGAGAGAGAGATTGTGTCAATCTCGCGTGATAATTCGCGCACGGGAAAACTCATTCCGCATTCGGGGATATATCTCGTCGAATCTCATTCGCGCGAAATTGCGGGAGAAAAGTCGAGCGTATGAAAAGAAAAAAAAAGAAGAACAAAAAGAAATGACGAAGCTTCACGGCGCGGTAGCGCGTAATGACGGGCTGCGCGACGCGTACAGCTAGCTTGATCGTTCATTAAGCGGCGAGTCGACCCCGGATGCGGACGTACGCAACCGTATGATGTGCGTTTACACACACACACACACGCGCGCGCCGCACACATATACGGAGAAGTCTTACCCGCTCGGCTCGGCATCGCGAACGTGACTCGGCCAGCCTTGCCGAGGCCGGGCGTAAACGGAAGAAACGATACGCGCCCGCATCCGGTTTTCAACGATAGAAAACCGCACTCGAGACTCGATCTCTGTCGTGGTTTTACGACGGATAAAAGGAAAAGAAGGGGAAAGTCCGTCGCTCTTTTGATACGCGGTAGCGAATTGCATATAGCCGTATTGAAATGTTTGTGATCTCGACGAGAAATCGTCCGTGCCGACGAATAAAACCTCGCGGATCAACGGAGGCACCACCACCGTTCTCACACTCGTAATGCCATTTTGTTTTGCGTGTCGAAAAGGATTAATTCGCGTGTATGGAAACTCTCGCGCTGATAGATTTTCGGTTCGACAACGCGTCGACCTGTGACGTTCACCGGCGTGCTTGTTGGATACTGGGACGATCGATCGCGTCTCTTGCGCAATTTTCCGGCAATTTTATACTTCCATCTACAGTCGCGAGAGCGTGGAAAAATTCCCAGCCCTCGAGAGGGGTGAGAAATTTTCTTAAACTCTCGCGGGAATAATTAACGCCGCGACCCGAGGAAGTGATCCGCCGCGCGCCAGCTTTATTCTTCTCTCTCGCGGCGGCAAACTCCGCGCAACCTCCGGAGGTCAATTCGTTTTAGCCGCGGTCGCGCTGGATAATTTATAACTACGATGTGTGTGTGTGTGTGTGTGTGTGTACGCGCGCGCGTTATTAACTATGAATTCCCGATGTGTCCCCTCTCGCTCCTCCGCGTCTCTTCCGATGGACTTTCTTCCTCGCTTCTGAACCTGTCTCGCTCGGGAACGAAATAGTTAAGTTCGAAGAGCAAGCAAACTCTTGCGTGCTTTTCTCCCTTGGCGAAAACCAAGTAAATTACACGCGTGTCGCGATACGCGATGTATCAGATAAAATCGGTAGCGAACTACTGTTCGCGATATGATTAAGCGGATTGTCATTTATTTTCCTCCGCGTTTTCTGTATTTTTTTTTCTTTTTTTCACTAATTCCTTCGCGGTGAATTAGATAGATGTAAGTTGAGATATATATTATGTGTACGGCTTGTTCTTCTTCCTTTTTTATCCAACTGTGTAATTTGCGATTCTTTGCGAGGCGCGCAGCTTTGACTCGCACGTATAGTAGTTTTGTTACTCGGCGAGTGCAGCCTCGAAGCGCGCGGACTTTTCGCGCAGCCGGGGCGTTGTCGCGGCAGGTACGTGCGTTGCACGTTAGTTCGTTTTAACACATCGTTACGATATTTCACACTCGGACCTTGCGCGGTTCTCAGTATTCAGCATAGATATCCCGCTGCCGCTAACGTCTCTCGTCGTTTCACATGCAAAGTCCCTGGCAAACTTCTCCGGCCGCGCGATTTATATTTATTGCGAACTATCCAGTTGTTTGTGGAACTTACGGTCGACGGATGGTACAATACGGATGGTCGTATACCACTATTCGCGCTTGTTTCTGGAAAACAAAAGAAGAGATTTGTTTTCGAACAGTCTTTTAAAAATTCAAACTGCATGAATTTCCAGTGAAATACGATAAAAATGCCTCAATCGTCGAACAAGCGGCCGGACATTTGTCAAAGAAATAATTAAAATATTTTTATAAGCAAAAAGCAGCAATCAATATCTAAAAATAATTAAGAAATATGTTAAAAAATAAATTTGAAACATCGAGAATTGTTAGGTGTCTAATATTTACACATCCAATAAATTATTTCTTTAATATAAACTGTAAATTGTATCATGTCCATTGATTTTCCACGGGCGATGGAACACTAGCTGTCAAATAAAGTGTATCTGACTATTGGGTTCATCTTTTCGATCATCGAGATAATTATCTGAAATTCGTTTCACTTTATCTTGTCATCTTGAGAGATGTTTCTAAAGTAACATCTTTTTTTCTAGCAAAACTCTTGTCGCCTGACATAGATGTTCCTCGTCAGATTAGACGTAAAAATTTTGCAAGTGCAGCTCACTTTGCTCACGACTGTGCAAATATAGTTGTGCCGTAGACAATATATCGCGCTCAAACGATCTTCAAACAATAGCTCCCTGCCGTAGAGAGAAATGTGTGTGTGTGTGTATACGTATGTATGTTTCTGAAGTGTCGTTATGATATTTGTCGTACGTGCCGGTCGACACGCTACCGCCGATGTAAAATGTCGCGAAAAACGTGCGGAAGCGAGAAGAAAAATATACTGTTACGCGAAATGCGACATCTCAGAGAGAATGTACGACAGTAGAATATTCTGTCAAACACGGACAAATGTTTGAAACTATATGTGTTATGAGAGACACTCCTTGAAAAAAAAAACAACTTTACGACAATCGCGAAGTCCATGTTTTTCTGTTTTTATGTTTTTGCTGTTTGTACAACTTGATTAAATGTGTTTTTCTAATCGACGAGATTGTTTTTATATTCTCTCTGATTCGTTGTATGTCCAATGAGACACATTGTGTAATTCAACAGCTCACAAATCAACTATTTGACGACGGTGATTAAATTCAGGAAAACTAATTAAGTTGTAAGAAATCCGAAAAAAGCGTGCGATTGAGTGCTACGTTTCTATCTTCCTCGTCTAACGACCAATTCGTCACCGATCGACACGATGTTTGTGCTGCCCGCGCACTCTTTACTTTTACAACCGTTCGAGCGTTTATTTTTTATTTTTTTTTTTATAGCGCGAGATCAATCTACGTATCTTCGAAAAACGGGAAAGTTTCTCAGCTAGCAAACAGTCCCTAATGGAATTTTTATAGGCAGTTGTAAATATTTTAACTCGAAACATAATGAAGACATTTGGTAGTGAGTTTCATAGAAATGACGTTTTACGGTCGCCACTCTTTTACCCGCGAAACCGCTTCGGCAACCGGATTACAGAATGTAGCGCGATAGAGAAGAGCCGCTCGAAAGTGTTAACTCTAAATAAACGTAATAAAAAAAAAAATAAAAAAAAATAAAAAAATGAGAGAAGAGAAGAGAACCAACAGAAATCAACGCGAGGTGATGGCGTAGGAAAACAATATTCTTTTCGAAAAAAAATGTACGCGCATACACGTGAAACGCGTTTCGATCTCGTGCGAAATAAACGCGGAGTATCGAAAGAAATCGCTCGTGTGTGTCCTTAATGTTAAATCACGCGTAGCAAATGTTATTAGCTATTAAGAAATATTTGTAGCGAAATAATTGGCAACTGATGAGACGCGTTGAAAATTTATGACTGTGCAAGAGATACGCGTAAAATAAAAACAAAAATACTGTCGATGGTACGCACACGATGGCGCGGAAGGAGCAACGAAACGTCTAGAATTCTCGTTTTTTTTTTTTTTTTCTGGTGTCATTATCGCGCTCAACACCGATCGTATCGGGACGGCAAATTCGACGACGCGACGCGAACGAGTTACCGCCTCGTAAAATTTCAGTTTAACGATGACAAGAATTTATTGGACAATTTTGATAGTGAACACAGTGACCCCTTCTTCTCGCTCTTCGATTTTCTTCGTTTTTTTTTTCAAACGCTCGTCTCCGATCGAGAAAGAGATAGAAAAAGATAATAAGTGTCAGAAAAGATCGTACGTATCGAATGTAAATTTCCTCGCGGTGGCTAATGTTATGTCACTCTGTCTAATCTACGTTTTCTACAGTTACTTGACATATTTTATTCCCAAATCTTCAGGGAGAGAGGGAGGGATATAAAATCGACGCGCGAGTGTGTGGGAAATTCTATCACACGTGGCGTCGAGGACTGTCGCCTCGTTACAAAACTCTCAAAGTTATCGGCCAACCTGTCCCATCTTCGTTAAGATTGAATTTAGTGTCGAGTATCTCAGGATTATTTTTCAGTTTTTAAATGCGTGTTTCTCTCTCGGTATGTAAATAGTCGAATCTTTTTAAATCTCTCGTAAAAGATACGCGAAAGAAGCGCGCGTAACACCTGTCGTATTAAATGAGATTTAGCACAGCCATCTGTGATTATTATTTTCAGGTGAGGTGTCGGGCGAGAACGTGTCAGCGGGCACGGGACCGCGTGGTGGTGACCGCGGTGAGGCGGCTGATTTAGGTACGCACACGGAAAACAACGACGGGGCCACCCTGGCAGCGAACACAGCGGTCGACGCCAGGGGCGGAAGTCCCCAGGGCGCTCACCTGTCAAATGCGGCAACCCCCAGACCGCCGAGGGGCAGAAGGCGGCAGAACCAGAATGGCCTCGACACCACGCAAGTAAGTGGGAGGAAGGGAAAAAGAGAATCGTACGTTTTTCTTCTCAAATGTCCAATAAGTGCCGAAATGCAAAATTTTAATATTATATTTAACATTCTCGTGTTTGCTCACTTTGCTTCTCGCCTGGCTCCCGAAACGATGGACGAATGTGTTTGGAGTAAAATTGTGACACGGCACACAAAGCGTTCCACGCGCGTAAGCAAACACAAACGTTCGCGTATATAACTTACGCTTGCGCGGTTCTATTGACGTAGCGTGAGTTGAACCTCTCTTGCGCGGGAATTTTTATTTATTTTTTTCCCCCCTTCTCCGCGAGAAGGACGCGAGGTCGCGCGGGATTTGTCGTACAAATTTTTCGAGAGAGCCCAACCGCGCGAGCGCTTCTTCCGCGAAGTGGAGTGTTTGAGCGTAACGTGTCCACTTCGCGGGACACGCGCTCGGGGAGATATCCTCGATGGAGTCCATCGCTCTCCCTAAGTCTCGAGCGCTGCTGATGTACGTACACGAGCGCACGCCGAGACGAGAGTCCCGTTCGGAATCAACCGCGCAGCAACTATGTCAACCGCGTCGAAAGCCGCGGTGTCATTCCACCGTTGACATCCACAGCTGACCCGCTCGTCGCTTCTGTAAACGGCAAAAAAAAAAGAAGAGTCTTTGGTGGCTGCTTATAACAGCGCTCCGAGAGAGAGAGAGAGAGAGAGAGAGAGAGAGAGAGAGATGCCGCGACGGTTGGAAAGAAGAAAATTGATGATCGTTAGAAAGAATACAGCCGGGTCCCGTGACCGTGCAAGAATTTCTTTCGAGCGCGTGTACGAATGTAAGGGTCTTCGAAGAATAGTAGCAACTCGAGAAAGTAATCTCTTAAGTAGCGTAGTTTATCTTGAGTTATTAACTCCCAAAAGATTCCACTGAATCAGGCGGGATTGACGAGAGGGATTAGTTTTTTCTTTCTTTTTTTTTTTTTTTTTTTTCGTCCGGAATTAATCGGAAGAGAATGAGGCACTTGAGCGAGAAGAAATCGTAACACAAAAACCAAGACTACGTGTGCGTACGCAACATTCCAAATTTGACAAGTTCTTATAATACTGGAATGACATTTGGTTTTTTTTTTTGTATTTTTCGTTTGTTCGTGCGAAATAGATTTTTTATTTATTTAAACGTGTGAATTAATACACATAATAATTCGAACCTGAATTCAACGCGAAGATTCACGTCAGGTTGATTGATTTGCGTCACATGTGGATAAAATATCCAATTTACATCCTTCCTTGAAATTTAATAATTTCGCGGGTTCTCAAAAATTCTTTTCGCTGCTATACTTTCCCGCGCGTCTGTCTCGCGAGATATATTTTCTCTATACCGAGACCACAGACCGGTGTATCGGTATTTCCGCGCCGAGCGAAAACCTATTCGAAACGTAAGGGTATATACGAGATCGTGTCCGCGTCGTGAGCCCGAAGCGGTCCCTTGTCAGGAAGAGAGGTCTGGAGGCGAGAAAGAGATTTACCGTGGCCTCTGCGAGAGGAGCCCCCGGTCTCTCCGGGCTCTTCTCCGGGATTCTATTCTACGCCAATCGACTCTCGTTCTTCTTGGTGTCACGGCGCGCTCTCTCGCCGCGCCGCCGCCGCCGCCGCCGCCGCCGCCGACGCCGAAGAGAGGAGTCAACTCTTACGCCACGCGTTGCCTTCATTACCATATCTCAGATGCAATCTGTTCCCGGGAATTAATGCACCCGGGGAGATATTTCCTGGCTGCCTCTCTCGGATATTCTTTCCCAAACGAGAAACGTATCGTGTGCGCAGCTACCGACGAGAGTTAAGTTCCGAGAGCTGCTCGGATGATAGGCGTGGTCCTTTATTGATTTCTTTTGTTTTTCAAAAACTATTTGTTTTACGCGGGTGAATAAAACTCATACGTTCGGCGTTAAACATTCGCGTGTTCCTTTTTTCGAAGTTTAAGAAATATGTCGTTGATGTAAAATTACACTTGAAATAGTTTCTTTTTTTTTTTCAAGATGTTGCGCGCCTCCAACGTTTTAAACCGTAAAGCACAAACGGCAGTAAAACCAAAGATGTTATTGTTGCCGCGGATAAGATAAGACGAGATGAATAAGTCGCGAACGTGCACTCGTGGCAGTTTTACGCGAGGACACTCAGCAGTTAAAATTTCATTTGTCGCGCATGTCGTCGAAATATATATTGTGTGTGTGTGTGTTAATATATATATGTATATATATATATATATATATATTCTACAATTTAAATAACTGTATTCTCGAAGTTAAAATTGGAATTAATTATTCTCTCCTTTAAATGACACGTAAAAAATTATTGCGAGTTATCTTCCAGCGCGCAAAATGAAGCAATTCTCGATGTCTACCTCGGGTCATCATTTGTCGATCTCGCCTTCTAATTAATACTTCCGTTTATATGTTCGTTCGCTCTTTTTATTGCCGCGACTAATTGCTCCGCATTCTTCTTCTCGTTATCGCGCATCCGGTTGAGCGCGTTTTAAAGAAGGGCAATTGTGTCGCGTTGCAGGTTAAAACGGAACGACTCACGCCTGACAACAACTCGACGTCGTCGAGAAGCGTGACGCCTTCCTCGTCGAGTCACCCGGGAACGCCGCCGAATGCCACGTCCTTGGGCGGATCAGAAGGTCCGCCGGCGCCTCATCATCTCAAGCACGTGGAGCAGATGATGGGACGAAACTATAGCGACTTCATGAGGAGCCTCGCCGCCAAGTACAACAACGCCAATCCTAACGAGTATATACACGTTTGATGATTTTTATAATTAATATAATACGACGTGTCTGTTGAAATGAGGCGAGAGCCTCATTTCTAGCTCGTCGTTGTTGTGAACGCTAAGACGTAGTAATCCGGTCGCGAATCTCGCCGCTCCACTTCTCTCTGGTGATTCAAAGTCCACTTTGCCAAATTTCGCGTGAAGATGTGTAGAGATATAATATAAATATATTTTTTTTGTCGAAACACGACGTGCGAGTGTATTGACTCTTGCCGATGATGCGCGCGAGACGTTGTCGTAAAAAAGAAAAAAAAAAAAGTCGAGACTCGATGGCTGCAAATAGATGATTCGAGTTATTGAGATTTGTAAGAACGCGCGCGGAGAGTACTCGAGGAAGAATCCGATGTACACTCGGCATAAAACCGGTTGCCCGGTTACGCGCGGGTACGTTGACTTCCAACTTTGTACCTTCTGGCACCTGGTTGGAAGCAGATCAGATGAATACTTAATTGATCAGTTTAAAGCGCCAATCACTTATGATTTTCTGCGGCGAAGAAGAGCGTGACGCGCTTCCGATCTCTCGGCATTTGAAGGTGAAAGTTTGACAGTTTAATTCATTGTGTGTCTATTTGCATCCTGTCATATTTAATCAGCCTTTTGATCTATCGAATTTGGAAATTGAAGAGAAACCGTAACCTCTCACGTCGTCGTTTCGCGCTTCGTGACGCGTCGAATTATTTTAAGATATCAGAGAAATCGCGCGCGCTTTCCCACCCGATATATCAGTCGTATATGTATTTTTATCACGAGAAAGCGGCATTTTTCTAAGTGTAATAAAAGAAAACGACGAAAGAATACGAAGAGAGAAAATTGTTTTTTTTTTTTTTTTAAATTAACCACATTAAAGCAAAAAACTAAAAATAACGATGGATTATTTTATTTAGTTACTTCAGCACGCCGAGGAATGGATACCCGCCGGGTTTGGATCCGAGGTTTCCGGCGTTCAAAACCGCAGCGACGCCGTTCGTCGGTTTAATGGCGCCCATAGGAACCCCGCAACCACCCACTGTCCCGACGACTTCGCCGCTTTCGAATAAAGATCCGAAAGAGCAGAAGCAAGACAATCTCTTTGGCAATCCCATGTTTCCGCCTATGATCGATATGTCTTCAACTCAGGCGCTTCTGCACATGGTACGAACTGCCAATGCGGCTCAAAACGCAGCGGAATTGGAAACATATCTCAAGGGCAAGTCATTAAAAAAACAATTTTAATTATTTTTATTTGCACATCAGGGAAATAGAATTTTGTTTTTTGCAAATTTTTTTCCCCGTTGTGTGCTCGCGTATTATTAATCTCTAGAAAACGAAACAAATTTGTTTGTATTTTGACACACAGGCGCGAATAAGAGAGACGCGGGAGTGACAAGTCCGTTGGATCTTTCGAGTCCCGGTGGTTTTGCGCCCCGCAAACGGCAAAGACCGGAAACAAGAAGGTCCGAGAGCGTGTCCCCTAAACCGAAACCCACCGCGAGACCGACCACACCACCGCCAGTCAGATGTCCGTCGCTCTGCGGTCACATGCCCTGCGGCGACGGGCAGGCCGTGAATCGCTGGACCATCGAGGACGTCGTTAATTACGTCTCGTCGATCGACATCTGCGCCGAATACGCACAGGTACGTACGTGTATCTTTTTTTTTTTTTTTTTTTTTTTTTTTTTATCTAGAACATCCGCGCGCGCAAAAAAAACAGAAAATACGCGCAACAAAAGTTGCAAATATTTCTGCAAAAAGAAAAAAGGAACTGACGTCCAAAAGTAGCGTCAAACTAAAACTCACACACGTGTTGCAAACTATAAAACATTAAATCATGAAATTAATGATAAGTACTGAATCTTGATATATATAATCGCAACTGTTATTTATATATTTTGTAAATCTCTCTCCGCTAGTTTTAATTGGTTTCGAAAGCCGATTCCGTATAATGACGCGTTGCTATTGTCGCGCAATATCTCCTTTCCCCCTTCCTCCTTTCCGCGTCAGTGAGGTAACGAAGCGATCTGGGAAGGCTCCGAATGACCTGACATCAGTCAATTCAGACAGACCGGCATTAGCCGGAGGGGAAGGGGAGAGACGGCGCGCCAACTAGGAGAGTTCTGTAATGACCCCTCGAAGCTCTAGCGTCGAGATCCTCCACCCTCTCAGGCGTTCCGTACTTTCTCCTTTCTTTCTCTTTCCTTTCTTTTCTTCGTTCCTCGGGCAAAATCTGCTCCGCGAACGATGATCTCGCTCGTACACACAGACCGCTCCGGCAATGATAGTTCTTACGAGCCACTTATCATTCGTTATTCCCTCCCTCTCCCTCCCCTCCGTCAAAAAGTTTCGCCGGGCGTGGTCGTGGGTTTTCGAGTGTCCACTGAAATTATCCGAGAGCGATCATACTCATCCCGGTCCGGTTTAAAGCGCTTCCGCTCGTTTTCCCTTCAATTTGACAAGCGAAAAGTATAATCGACGTAAAACTGGGGCGCGGTCTACTTTCTCAGCGGCCGGCTTCCGTCCTCACTTCGCGATTATGTCAGGAACCCACGCGCGCAATAAATAGTTCCGTAATTTGCGATAAAACACGGTAGAGTCAATAATTGACGGTTGCGCCCGACCTCGCGGTATAGACGCAAATTGATTAATTACAGATAACCCGACACGGCTTATCTTTACGCGATACAATCTCCTTCTGCGCTGTACATAGATACACTTTGCGGATCGGAGCGGGTTGTCACGGAGCTCTCGAACCGCGCCGTTTCTCGCCGTTCGGCTTCGTGACAGAAGTTATATTTCTCCTCGGCTGTCACATCGTTCACTCACTCATCCGACAGAGAGACAAGAGCCGTGACTCCGCGGCGCGGCAAAGAAAAATTCCTCATCCGTGTCACGAGTCGCAATTTCCTCTCACTTCACTTTGGGAGGATGTTATTATATTTATTCGCAACGCGATAAACTGAAGAGTCGATGTGCGATCCGTGTGATTTTTTTACGAAGCGATGAATATTCCGCGATAAGTAATTAAGGTGAATGTAACACACACGCGCGTCGGTTCGAGACACGTGCGTGTGTGTAGTTTGTTTTTGTAAAAATTTTCGCGTCACCGCGATTATCAGACGCGCGTCCCCGGGTGATCGATATGCTCGCCTTAACGAGCGTATTCGCGTCGAAGCCGCTTGTCCGAAAATTAAACCCGATCACGTCACACGATGTGTCGTGTGCGAGCCGTTACCGTTTTAAGGGACAAGCGCGGCTTTGCCCAACGCACTTTTTGCGTCAACGCCGGTATATCCTTCGCGAGATAAGAATCGGTATCGTGCGTGTCATCCCGGGGGTTCGCATAAAGCGCACGACTCTCACTCCGAAGAATTATTCCGCGACCAGGTTTGCCATGAAGAGAGCGCGCGATCCTTGAGGCTCTCTTATCTGTATATACGCTCTCGTGGCTGGCCCTCGTCATTCTTGAATCGAGTCGACGGCTGATCGAAGCACTCGAGGGAGACCCCGCCGGTTTCTCCTTCTACGCCGAGGCGGCTCAGGCGTTCGATTACATTCGAGTATTCATGAATATGCATGACGCGAGGTGGGCGCCCGCGCAAAAATTTACGGCCCTGACAGTCTGACGTTTCGAGGACCGCGCGTTTGCGAACGAGCGCGCGCTCCTGAGCAGAGTCTGTATATGTGTGTGTGTATGTATCTTAACAACGATAACCATGGATAATCGAGGCTGACATTTGCCTCTAGGGACCTCGCTACGTTTCTTACATATCGTATTAATCGATTATATTGATTTATTGATTTATTTATTAATTAACGTGGAACTGACACGAAAAGAATATTAACGCGTATATGATGTTCGATACTAAAGATCGACAATATCGACATGTATGCTGAGAGTCGATGTGAAGAATAATATTGTTAAACATTATTTATATTAATTAATTTATATTAATTAATACTTATTAATTGTCCATTAAATTAACTTTTAATTTAGAAATAAATATTTATTTAAATAAATATATTAAATATTATAGGTAATAAGATTTGCAAGATGTTTATTTAAGCAAATTTTTACTGCAATATGTTTTACACAAATATATATAATTTACAATCGGCATAATTATTATTAAAACCGCTCAACGCGCGGTTACATTATTACGTTGTATCAGTCATATTATAATCAGTTTTTTTTTTTTTGTCTACTTTACGAAATGAATTTTGTATTACGCGCGCCGGATAATTAATGCGGCAATTTACGGGCTCGTCCGGCGCGAATGTATGTCTGATTTAATGCGAACGAGAGCCCGGAGACGAGTCCCGGGTCTCTTTTCTTCGCAGCTGCCGATGAATGCAAGTGTAACGATCACGCGAATACGCAATATCGGATCATTAAAACACATAAAGGTGAAACCTAAATAAATCGCTTACAGTTCATAAAGCGAAGCCGTAATATTCTCTGTACACGCGGCTGCTGCACCATATGGCGGCCATCATTTACGTCGGAATATCCAGCGCGTGTTGTTGTACGCGCGCAGCGGTCGGGATTCGCGCTATCGAATTTCCGCGATGAATTTCGAGAGCGTTAAAGGAGAAGAGAGAGTGACGCGCGCGCGCTTCTTCAACACACAAACAAGGTAGTTTCGCTACGGAATTCTCTCGGAATTATGGCATCGATTCTTATCTCACAAAGAAACGCCGCGAACCGGCGAGAGAAAGAGCGAGAGCGATCCTTTTCGCAGATCAGTTCGAATTATGGCGATACGATCCTTATCGCGAGTGCAATATTACCGCGGATCGTGCGTTCACTTTCGTTCGAATGCAACAGAGCGCGCGCGAGAGAGAGAGAGAGACTCCGTCTCGGAAAAAGAGTAATTACCGCCGCGGAGTTGAAAGTTTAATTAATACCTACTTCGCGTACATTTTAATTATGTATTTTCGCGATGAGAAGGATAGACTTAAAGCAATCAATCTGTTTCGTACGGATTATAAGATGGATATAATAATGCGGCGCGTCTAAGCCGCCTGTGGCGCTCAAACAAACAATTTTACCATCGGCAAAAATTTTCAACAACACATCCGCGCGTGAATCGCCGCGCGCAGCAACACACACATTACGCAAGCGCAAAAGTGTATTTAAGCGTAACACACAACATTCGTTCGGCGATGCGTCGCTTGATATTTGCAAGGAAATGACAGATACGTAGGCGTGACTTATGGAGCGAACGTCGTAAAGCGAGACCCATGGGGTTACAAGCGGCGTTGCAAACACCGCGACCGCGTGTCGAGTTTGACATAAGATAGCGACCGACCGCGTGTCGAGATCGTTAGAAAGTCATGAATGTGGATCGACTCCGGATCGGTCCGTCCGCGACGGACGAGGGATAAAACTACGTCCTCGCGTCCCACGCGCACTCCTTCGCATCGTTCGCGTTATTTTATTGATGATTTCGCGGCCGTTTGGAATTGATTTTCAAGACTAGACACTCTCCGACCGCGATTCGAAATTCTGACCGAGAGATCGGAAGATCTTTTCCTGTTGGACTGTTTGCCTTTCTTATTCGCTTCCAGCCGATAACTCGTCGACTCAAAGTTGTTAAACGGCTGTTAATTGTGCGTCGAGACATGTATCTGTTTTTTTTTTTTTTTTTTTTTTTTTAGTATTTTCAGATCCTTAAAAAATTATTGTTTTTGTTGTTACACCTGATGAATCACAAGTCGAGAAATCGAGTCGTGAGAGCTGCTTGTGTTGACAAATGTCCAATGATTTAACATTTGTTCGCGTGAAGAGACGATCCTCTCGCGATCTTCAATGGGAGACGTTTTTTTTTTTTTTCACGATCTACCTGTTGCGAATCCTTTTCATTGCGCTATCACGTGTTTAAACGCGCGCACGAAACGCCGCTTCGTGCAATCGGGACAAATCAACGGCGATGGATGGATCTGATCCAGAACGTTCTACGCAGCAGCAGCAGCAGCGGCAGCGCAGCGAGAGACCGCGCGCGGACTTTCTAACGATTCGGCGCGAGGCATGATCTGACCCCAGGCCAGACCTCTCTCGTTCTCGCCGGCTGGAACTAACGTGTAGCACCTTCGCGCTCGCTCGCGCGCGCGTGTGCACACACACACACGTAAGCGCCTTCTGGCACCGGTCAATTAATCATTAATAGGCGCTAATACTCGCCGCGGTATCGGACGCCGATTGCGGACGTGCGCGTCGAATGGATGCGGAACGCTCTCGTTCCAGATTCCTGCGGCTTCGAGCCTCGAAACGCTTCCTTCTATGTCGATCAATCCATAATTCCCGTCGGTCGCGCTCGATTCGCGCGATGTATCGAGAGACGAAGGGGGAAGGAGAGAAAGACGGGGGAAGATTGCCCCGACGCTAGATATGTCGGATGTGTTTGGGAAAAGATCGCGTGATATTTCTATGATGGATGATCGATGAAATTAGGGATCATTAAAAATGACGGGGTATTGTTGTTGTTGGGATCGGAACGGTTTCCCGTCCGATCGACGCTTGCCTAACACGTCTAGACCTCGCTTCGTTATCCATCACATGAAAAAACATTATCAGCCGAGAGTTCTTCATTTGAGCTTTCTCTTTCGCGATCTCTTCATCTTTCGAGATGTAAAACAAA